CAAGATAATAAATGCTTATCTCCGGTACATCAGACCGGTTCATCCAATTTAAATCATGTGTGCAATGCTTTTCGTAAATATAATTTTTATTTTTTATATTGATTCTATTTAGAATTAAAATAAAAAAAAAACGTTTACTTAATTTGATTTGATAGTTATTGAGATATTTTAACTTAAAGTTTAAAAACCTTATGGAATTATTATCATTAATGTTTATTACAAGCTTGAATTATATTCAATTGATAAAAACTAAAGAATGACTATAAGTAACGGTAAAGATGGGACTATAAAAAACATACACATGAACGAATATTATAAGGTTTAACTAATACGTAAGACGGATGCCTGAGAGATGAACATAAGTTTACCAAATATATTTTTAATACGTACGTACATAAAATAGAATAGAGCTTACATAGCAATGCAATGCATTCATTCAATCATGAAATCAAAAGTCGATTATTTATTTAACCCCTTGATGTTGTACGTCATAAGATGCTATAAAAGTCGATTATTAAAAGATCTTATAAATGCAATTCTTGAATGTGTGCTAGGTTGGTAGCGCATTAATCGGCCAAGTTTTTGTTCCAATTAAAAAATTCCAATAATAATGAAAATAAATTAAAATTTGGCCGTTCTCTAGCGCTTTAGTCGATTGGTAGGAATAGGTCAGGAAGCAAATTTTAATTAGTAAAAATTGGTTTCCGAATCAATTGTATTTAATATTATGTAGAGCTACATAAATTTAATACACCATAAAGAAAATTTAAATAGCGGAAGATTGTTTAGACGATCAAAAGTGCTTAACATTCCAATTGACAAGAAATGGAGGCCCAAATATCCTTTTTTTTCACAGAATTGCGTTAAAGCGAAAATTTTTCATTTTTTTGATGGATTAAAAAAAAAATAACCGTTCAAACACTTTATCCCTTTACCATTATACTGTAGATTCAAAATTGTAACCAGTGCGTATGCTAAAAACTTTCTCTCGAATAAAAAGACAAGAAGCTGAAATTTCACGAGTGACCATACTTATCATACAATCATTCCATTCATTCCTCCTCCTTCACAAGATGTAGTGTCTCAACATTAGCCAAACTTAAAACGAAACCTAAAAACATTATATCAATATTTAAAATTTACACATTCAAAATTTGATTTATTTGTAGTAAAAGATTCAGAAAAAGCTGTGACAGCTAGTTTTGTTATTGAAAGTTGCTAGTCTGAAAACCGAAACAGAAACTAGAATTGCAGACATGTGTTTTTTTTTATTATTACAGGTTGTAAACGCAATAATTTTTTAATGGTACAATAAGATAGTTAACAAAAATTATAAGTTAATTGCATTGAGGAAGATACGTGAAAATACGTCAATTACATTATCATTACTCTATTGATCTTTAACAAAGATCTAATTAAGGTTTATCATACAAATAACGGATGAACATCACTACGATTACTAATTAATTAATTAAGTATGCTACATGAGAACATCCTTAATAAGAAAGCACACTACGGAAGTTTTCATTCAAAAAGAAATTTTAAGTTTACGATATAAATAAATCCGAATTCGATAAAATTTATGGGGGCCATGTGCAGATCCTCGATTTTGATTGGCTAGGAGTGACGATCAAAAAAATTAGGCCAGAATTACTCATAATTCCTAATGAAATCGCAGCTGCCCATTAAGTGAAATTATTTTTTTAAAAAATTGTTTTTGTAATGAAAAAATTAAAAAGTTAATTCCGGTCAGAAATTAAATAATTATGTAATGCGGGCCAAAATTTTGAAGATCCTCGGCCGTAAGCAGTATACGCATAAAATTTTTTACGAAATTTCCGGTTTAATCAAAAAGGAAATGTGGCGGATCACGAATAAGACGCAAAACCAATAAGTAAGCAGGCACATGTTCAAACTTAATTTTAAAAGCAATGATCAGAGGTAGATACGCAGTCGGAAAAGATTGAGAAAAAACGACCGAGCATAGGTTTATTTAAAAGTTTTGTATTATGAAAACCAAGAAATTAAATCCGTATAGCTAAAAGTATAAAAAACAAATTAATCTAATGCAATTCAAGTCTAGTTTAGTCTGATTAAAGATGTGGACATATTACCATAAATTGTTGTAATTATAAAAAATATCAGCTTATTATAATTAAAAGTTATGGTATTATGTACGTACTGTATTTCTAGATCCAACAAACCTCAATTTCAAAGCTCAGTTTTAAATCTCATGTACAACATAATCTCCCTAGTGCCTGGTTTTGCGAAACTGTGTTGCGCAGCTACTTGTGTATTAATAGTCATACATTTCATGCGGATTATGTGATATAAGTTATATTGTGGATTAGCTTATAGTCCTTGTATATTCACCAGATTGCTATAAATAGTAGTTCGAGTGAAAATTACAATTTCTATATACCGCAAAAACTTTTCGGACAATAACAACAGATTAGCCCGTATTCTATCAAATGAAATATCTAAAATTGTGAATTTCCTATTCTCATTAATGATAATTCGAATAGGAAAGAAGCCTTGCAGGAATTCAGTGATGGCTAACAATGTTTTAATATATATTAAGTAAAGGTAAATCATAATCGTTGTTTAATAATAACTTGCTTTGCCCATTCTTAAACTCTGGCTATAAATTCTATATTGACAACTCCGGGTAACTCCGATATGTCAAGTTTATAAAGGATAAATTTTCTTGTATTTTGATAAGTTTAGAGACTTTTCAAGAAAATGGTTAAGCCTCGTGTCGCTATTATCGGTGCTGGTATGTTAAAATGACTTACGTATGATTTAAAATAATTCTAATTAGCAACTTTAGTGTATTTTTTTTAAAATAAAATTCAGGTTCATCAGGATTAGCGTCCTTAAAACAATGCCTTGATGATGATTTAGATCCAATATGTTTCGAACAAGCATCTTATGTAGGAGGTCTTTGGAATTTTGTGGAAATTGATGGCGAAAATAAAGATCCGTATCCATCAGTTTATCACCATTGCGAAAAATAAATAGTGCTTATGTATTCACTTTTAATTTGATTTCTTATTTCATTGATTTGGCAATATTATACCATAATAGTGGATATATTTAAAATAAGTCATTTCTTAATATTTATAGTAAGTATAGTTTAAAATATGACAAAAATTTTTGCTGCTTCTTAAGTTATTCTATCTTAGTAAGATTTTAAATTATCATTCATTTTTGATTATTAGGTTAATATAACCGGAAAGTTGTTAATCAAAGTATTCGAAAGCAATATATGCACTTTTTATTTATTTTATTAGTTTATCGTCCATGCTAATTTGGTTGATAAACAATCTTTTATTCAAGTTGATTCAGCCATTATTATTTATTAATCGAAATATTTGAAATAATCTATGCATCTATTATTAGTGCTCCGAATGGGTCGGGTCGAGTTGACAATTTTCAGATTAGATCTTCAACCCAAACCAAACCTTACCTGAAATTTTATTAAATTTTTTTAAAAAAATGAATTGAAAGCCCATTTTGCTCTTAAACGTTTGATAATTTATATAACAATGATCATCGAAGCTAGCTAATCAAATCTAAGCAAACGCAGTATGCTAATAAATTCAACAGGCTACTACAGTAAGAATCGTGCATTGCATATTCAGAATCAATGAATGTTTTT